AAAAGTACTAAATATATAAAACAATATATTATTGCACCAAATCTTCTGATTTTGTTTTCATTTTGTAGGGGATTTAGGAGGTTTTCAAATAATTATGTGTGTAATCAATGAAAAATTGTGTACATTTTAAGTTATTCATAAATAAAATTCTGAATTTATCGTAACATTTTTTACAGCTTGTTTTTGGAAAATTATGTTATATCCATAAATTGAATTCCGGGGAGCGGGGTAGTTGAGTGGTAGGACACTAACTTTCCAATGCTCAAGGTTCCAGATTAAAATATCAGCTCATGGCAGAGAAATTATTTATTCTGTTTTATTGGCCTTGGGCCGTGGGCCACACCCAGCCTCTACAAAGTGGGTATCCTTAATTAAATAATTGATTAAGAGGGAAAAACTGGCGATTGATCGTGATTCTGGCCTGATCCCCTCCCTGCACAACTGTTTGCCTTGAAACAGTACTTTTCCTAAATAGTACTGAACTCAAGACCCTTCACGGGTTGTTTCAAGGGAAAGACTTTAGCCAAGTTTGATTAAAATTGTTACAGCTGTTTTGGCACTATAGTCTATAGTGACACATGTATTTTGGCCTCCTTTGGATGGTAATGAAATGTGTATCCTGAATTTGATTGCAACCTTGTTTCAAAATTTAAGAGCAGTCGGTGAAGAACTTAGCGGGAACAAAGTTAACATTTAAATTTGTATTTATATACACTGTCCTCAAAATTTTTTTGTTGATAAAACAAATGCTCGTCAAAAGCTAATAGGAAAAAAAAGGTAATGTGTTGAGAAATAGAGGAGAAAAAGGGACTGAACTGTTTTGCCTTAACCTATTTATGTAATGATATTTTATAGATGTGTTTATGTATTCAAATTTCATAGAATATTTGGCTTTATAGTAGTCATTTAAAAAAATATAATTCAATAAGGCTATTGCATTTTTAATTTAGGAACAACTAACTTCTTCATTATAACTTAATTACTAATAGTGCTATTCATTTTCTATCCAACAGTAATTAATTGTCTTGTATTAGGAATGAGGTTTGGCGCTTCAGACCCTCTGAATGGGGTACGACACGTCAAGGATTAACTACATTTTTCTTTCGAGGATTCAAATATGGCTTTGCTGCCTTCCTGGCAACAATAGCAATTGAAAAAGCCATTGATGTTATTAAGAAAAAGAAAGGTGGTAGCCATGGAGACCACCATTGATAGTTCTGAAGGATATAGGAAGGTATACATTGTATACAGTTTTAATTTTATTAATATTGTTGTGTATATTTAATTTGTATATTAAATATTATCATAAGTTTGTTGAGATTTAAAATCTCAGCAATGTGAAGTGTCTATCATTATGTAGAATAAAAAAAAAATAATAGAAGCAGTGTATTTTTTAAAACAATTCCCTTGTTAATATTTATAGAGAAAAAAAAACATTTTTTTAAACATCTGTTTATAACATATACAGTCACCATAGGAAAAAAAACAACAACTGGGCACTGCTATTTTAGAGATATATTGCGCTGGCTAGGAAAATGCCTACAAAACAATGGTATAAGCACATTTTATTGTAAATATAATATTTTGAAAAATAAAATAGCCAATCTTTTGTAAAATACAAGACTTCAATTTCTAATAGTCTTAGTATTTTTATTCTCTTCCTGTTTCTAGAAGGGCCTAAATGAAATAGGTTATTAATAGGGGTGGATTATTTTGTAAGCAGCTACATTTGGCCTATGATTGCCAATTTCCTTGTAGTGGCCTCTAGATCTTAACTTCAAAAATTTCATAAATGACCCCAAAGGTGTTAAATGTGTTACACCCCTCCCATAATCTGCATAAAATGATCAAGTAATTCTAATTACAAAACGTTAAATGTATGACCTCTAAGTAGCTATCTTTAACTCTTATTCTGCATTTTCTATAGGTCTCTCTCTTTATTTATGGTAATTGAGGCCAACTAAGTACCAAGCGTATACTACCGTTTCTTGACTTGTTTCTTTTTTCCTCCTCATTTTCTTCACATTCTTTTCTCCCATCTCCCTCCTTTCCTTTGTCCATTTCTTACCTTTTTTTTCTTCTCCACAAGAACCTTTATATTTTTCTGAATGTTTTAATCTTAAAACATTTTAATCTTTCTCTTTAATACCCATTTTTTCTACTTTTTCTTTTAATTGTTTCGGATATTCTTTTATTTTCTTCATTCCCATCAATTTACCGAATATTAGCTGGTTCAACTTATTCTGATTCATTCTCTTCATATGCCCTATTTTAGTCTTCTTTACCTCATTAATGTTTCTAAGTTTTCAATAAGCTCACTGTTCTTTTTTCTCGGTAACTCTCCCACTCATCTTGGCCTATATATTATTCTTATTATCTTTCTTTCTATTCTTAGCTACAAATTCATGTAATTAATTACTATGATTAATTGCCCCTTGTCCACTTTATTTATTTTTTTGAGGACCTTTGAAATGTATTGGTGGTCTAAGTTATCTTTAGGAATTATTTGTTCGATGCATTCACAATAATCATTGTGTTTGTTATTCTGTTGTTGTTGTTATTGTTATTCTGAGGGGACATTGTCCCAGAATAAAGTTTATTTTCTATTTCTATTTCTATTTCTAATCACTCATGGTAAGAGTAAGAGTAACTGTTAACTGTTGTAGTGTAGTAGTGTAAAATTTTGCTGTATTAGATAAGGTTTCTTAGTTTACAAAAGTACTGCGTATTAAATGGTATTGTCTCCGTTGCTTTTTAATGTATTACTTTTGGTGGATGTTTTTATGCCTTTTCTATCTTTAAAAGTGATGAAGTTCTGCATATGTTGTGGGTTTTCATAGCTGTTATGTAGCACAAACGTTCACATGATTGTGGTTATTTTATGCAGTATGTATAGTTCAATCATGATTAGTTTGCAACCTGAGGGTGAGTGAACTCATGTAGTAAGTTGACACTAACATTTTTCCCCCTTACTCTCCGATATTACTTACAAAATATTAATAAACATATGCATATATTGAAAGATAATGTAATGTTCTAACATATCTGTGTTTTTAAATATGTTATAATATAGGACTATTAGGAAATAACAAAATGTTAGTTTTAATATGTTAAATGTTATGATAATGTTGGTGCTATAAGACTGCTATAGTTCTCATTCAGACTGCCAACTAACTGGCCAAACTTTAATTTTATTTCTACATTCAGTGTGTAACACATCTCAAGTCTGAGTGAAGATTCTAAGAAAATTTATCCACAAGTCAAAACAAGCAAAAATAACTAATTTCTTTGAAACAAATAATTAATTTAATTATATATTAGGGGGACCGGAAAGTAATTTTATTTCTGAGTATGTCACTATTTGATTGTCATTTGGCAGCTAATTGTGTACATATATGTTGTGCCGAAGTCATTCTAAGGTTATAGTGACTTCTTTAGTTGCAAATAATTAAATTAAAAATTTTTTTGTTTGAATTTTTGGTGAAATGACTATTCAAATACCACTAGAGGTAGATATCCAGCATTGCACACTTTTTGAGTTTTGCAAGGGTAGTAATGCAACATTTGCAATGTTTAACCAAAAGCATTAGACGTCTGTAAATGCCAAAGGTAGTTTTTCAAGTTCAAATCCGGTAATTTTGATCTTTCTGACTCGTATCTACAAGGAAGACCAACAATGTTAGACAATGATGTTAAGGGCGGGAGTCGAAACAAATCCGTGTAAGACGATTAGGGAATTGTCTAAATGTAAATCAATCTTTAATTGAAAAGAGACCATTGATTGCCAACAGAAAAGGCATTTTTCTGCAACACGAAAATGCAAGATTGCAGTGCGTAAGACAAACCCTGGAAAAAATGAATGAATCAGGGTGGAAGGTACTGCCTCATCCACTATACGCCCGATGTTGCACCTTCGGATTTCCATTCGTTTGGTTCATTTCAACATTTTGTAAGTGGCAAAAGATTCACAAATTTGAATGATGTCCAAAATGCCATTTCTATATATTTTGCTCAAAAATGAATTGATTTTTATCGGTCATATAAACTGTAAAATACCATCGATCTCTATATATTTTGCTCAAAACTAATTGATTTCTGTCTGGCATTGAAAATTTGCTCATTAGATGGCAAAAGGTTGTTGATAATAAGGGGGATTCCATCAATGATTAAAAATAAAAACTTGTGTGAAATTTGTGTTTTTGAATTTAATACAAGAAAACGACATTACTTTCTGGTCCCTATAGTATAAATTGGCTACTTTCATGAATTTTCAATTTTTATTCTCTATTGAACATTAGATTATAACAATAAAAATGGATGTAGCTAGATCACAGAAGTGGGGACACTGTTACATTTTGACCTGTCAGCACATAGCTCATACCGTTGAGTATCTTAGGCTTCTTAGTTTTGAATGGTGTCTCCACCTAAGAAAAAATTTGCCATTTTTTTTCTCACCATGTAGTTTGTGGATAAAAATATTTAATCTAAAATAGATTTCATTAGCTTTTATAAATGCATTTTCATAAAGAAGAGCAGAGAGATTGCAGCCCAAATTTTCACGATTTTTTTTATCATACAAGTACTGAATTCAATGTTATCAAGTGAATTTGCATGTTCATATCCAGTTAATAAAGTTGTATATAAGTACTGAGTTTTAATCTTTCATTGCGTATAATTTTTCTATACGCCCCACTTCAGCAATCTGTCTGCGTTACTGATTACAGAGTATTTTAAAAGGAATGTATTTATTATTGTAGTTTCTGATTTTCTTTTGCAGTAACTTTTGAAGGAACATCTACCTATATCTATGTATTTATATCTTATTATCAATTTTTTTAAACTACATATTACATTTCAAACATAAAACTTGAAACAAAAAAATGAATTTCATTTTCTCTTCAAAGGAGAATTTTAATAAACTAGGTTTCTGTTATGTAATTATATAAGAAAAATACATTGTAAATAATAGAAAAAGTAGGTGAAATAAAATATTCTATATTGTAATAAATTATTATTTATTAAAAAGAAGAAAATTTACAAAAATATACACGAGTCTAGACAATTCTAATTAATTATCTAGTCTTATTGCTTGTATGTTTGCCTCAATGATCTTGAGAAAGTTCTAAATCTTAATGATAACCTCATCATAGCCAGAACATTCAATTGTTCAACAGAGTCACGAATAATTTTTCAAGCTTTGCAGCTTTCTGCATGCTGCCGGAGATCTTCATTCTTCCAGTCATGAATGCGGTTGGTGCTCTTAAGTTACCTGAAACACACAAACAATTAATCTTAATTTTTTTTACTTATAGAATATATATATATATATATATATATATATATATATATATATATATAATTCATTACGAATTAATTTAATATCACTATAATCTATAAAGGGCCTTAGGGAAAAATCTTTATTTTATTAACAGTTGTACAATAAGATAATTTTGTCATTATTATTCTCATACCATCGAATTGAATCTCCCAGAGAATCCATTTAATGAATAAAAAATAATTTTCTTCTACAGTTATTTATGCATTTTTTAAAGAATTTAGATTGAGATTTTGTATGAAAGTTTATTCTTTGAAATTAAAATTTTGACCTCTATATGTGGTCGGTTTATATTTGGATTTAAGCTAAGAAAATTTGAGTTTGACCAAACTTGAGACTTAAAAGTCGCTTGATAGTTCATTTTATTATTTAAAAATATGGGTTATTAGTCGACTGATCAATCATCAATCAGTTCCTATCCCGACTCCCAAAAGACAGCACTGAGGATGACCCACATTTTTGGATCGAAACGTTGGCTAACCTAATTAAAATTCTTGACTGTAAATTTTGACAATTTTGTTTCATTTTTGTATTTAAAGTTTATAATAGTAATGGGTGATAACTCTCTCACTTATAACGTCACATTTTGGGGAGTGAAGAAAAAGCAAGACTATAGTTTTTCAAAACTAGATCAGTGATGATAGTTGAAAACAAAATCAAAAGTTATATAAAACTAAAACAGAAGAATAGCTGACATTAATCTTTAGGATTAAAGGATATTTGGGAATATTAACTTTATTAGGTAAGTTTAATTAGAAACAAAATGGTAGAAAGGATATGATTAGTATAACATTTATCACTTCCTTGTGTAGCCACGCAATTTGTTCGTACAAATTAAAACATGATTATTTCATTAATGTTGAAGTAGTTTTGGAGAACTTGAGTTTTTGAAAGTAAAAATTAGTATTACCTGTGTTTTGAACATTGTTTTCTATGGAATTTATTAATTCATATTCATATTCATATTAATTCAGATTAATAATAGGATGCTTTCTATATATTCGTTGAACAAGTTACAAGCTCAAATTTTTTTTTTTTAAATATTACACAATGCTTAACGTTTACAAGTAAGTTATTTTATTTTATAAGATTAAGTCTAACTAACCTTCAACAAGTCTGTTGAAATTCTCCGCATCTATGCTAAATATGGTATCAGGGTTTCCTTCTGATTTTCCCTTTCCAGCACTGCCGGAACCATTCCTCAAGTCGATATAATAAATCTCTCGCCTGTCTCCTGAAATTCGCATAATTTATTTAGATATGAAAATAGAGTAGAATTATTTAAATTAAATTAAATTAATAAATAAATAAAATTAAAGACACAATACACAAATTGTTAATTGGTTAGATTTACTCTTTAAAAAATCATCCTTTAAATTTATCACTGTATGATTTGGTCAAGAAGGGATTGGAGTAACTCAGTGGTAGGGCACTGATCTTGCAATGATCAAGGTCCCAGGTTCGAATCCCGGCTCATCGCAGAGAAATTATTTATTCTGTTTCATGAGCCATGAGGCGACCTTGAGGTTAGGAGACCCTCCGGTATTAATTTGAGTAACCTTAATGAAGGAGAAAAATCTGGCGGTTGAGCATGATCTTGGTCAAATCACCTCCTTGTACAACCGTTGACTAAGAATCAGTACTTTTCCTAAATAGTACTGAACCCAAGACCCTTCATGGGTTGCAGTGGTACAATTTTTTTATATTTGTTAAGAAGGTAAAATAAGGTTAGGTATGGGGTTATTGAAAAAAAAAAATACTTGACTAAATCTGAAAATTTAAGTTCTATCATATTTATTAATGGTGTATCAGTTACACTATGGTGTGTTAGTTGGTATACATGTATCAAATTTATTGATTCAAAGCAAAACAGTTTCTTTGAACAAAGGATAAAAAATCTTGGCAGGTATTGGGTGAAATGTATTTATGTTAAGAGAAGTTATTTTGAATAAAAATAATATCGTTTTAAGTTTGTTATTCTTTCATTTGCCTCATATTCTTGGAACTGATTGAAACCAATTAATAATTACAAAAAATTGACTGAAGTGACCAACTCATAATTAAAAAAAAAAAGGTTCATAAAGGAAAAAATATCTATGTTTTTATTTATTTTATTTTTTCATGATTAAATATTTGTTCAATTGCTGTGTAATTTTTATTATTACACAGACAAACTTTATGTTGAAATAAATAGATATATATTTTTATTTTTGAATATTCAGATCTATTGACTAGTTAGCACCTGAAATCTTTTTTACAAAATTGTGCATTTATTCTATTTTTAAGGGTTTAAACAGCTCAGTATAAAATGTGTTTTTCATTTTAATTACTGATATTTTAACAGATAATAAATAAATATACCTGAAAGAATGTTGAACTGGTAAATGGCCTGCGTGTCATTGACAATATCTGCATTGAATTTTTCGTTAAGGTTTGTTATGATCCCTTCAATCGTTCCTCTGTTTGCGTTTACTGCTCTTGTACTCATCATCCTGCTTTGTTGTTTCATCAAGTTCTTGTCATCTAAAACATTCCAATTTAATTTGTGAAGTTATTTTAATAAAATTATTACAATTAATAATGAAAAAAAATGACTGAATGTAATTCTTAAAACCTAATTCCTTATTAAAATTAATACCATAAAAGAGGATATTGAAATTTAAAATTTACAAGATATTCTGTTTTTCAATAAACAAAATCCCTAAACCAATTGAAAATCTTTTATATTTTATATTCACAGTTCATTTAGCAAATCATATATTTTCATCTGGTCAACATCTCTGTCATGTTTTTATAAAATTCACAACAAAAAATGCTTATTACAATATTTCTTTTTCCATAGTGTAACATTTTTTGGTTTCAAGTTTCAAAATATGATAATTGAACTAAGACTAAAATAAGTATGATTCCACCATTCTAAAGAGCATCTTAATTAATTCTTGAATTTAAGATCAATAAATCTTGCAAGAGTAAAAAGTTTTAATATATTATTTCGCAAAGGTTTTATTTTTATCGGTATAGCATATCTTCATTAATACTTCATCAAATCCAATGAACTATCATTATCATGAATATTTACTCCTATGGTTGTAAAAAAAAAAACTCAAGCCCCAGAAAAGTCAGAGAAAAAGTGCAAAGAAAAGGAAACTTTATTTGAGCATAACTAAAAAAGTATACAATTTATAGTTGATTATGCCCATTATGATTTGAAAGATTCATAAATTTTCTACAAAATGAAAAAAAGAAATAAAATTATTAGCAAAGATACAGTCTGATGTACTTTGTACACGTTTTTTATTTATTATTTCTAATGATTCATTACAATTAATCAAGGAAAATTAATGCCTCCATCTCAGAATACAATGAATTTACTAATAGCCATATTATATTGCCATATATACACTGACCAATACACTACATGAATTATTCAAATGGGCCAATTAGTATGCTATATTATTATATATGAACCTATCAGTTTGGATTTTGTGAAATAAAATATGTTCTTGTTTTATTTATTCACAGATTTTATACTTTTTCTAAAAGAATATTTTTTTTTTTTACTTTTCCAATGTTCAATGGATACAAAAATCCAATATCTAGACAGCAAGACAACCATTAAGTTTTCTGATATTCATTAATGAATCAAATCAGTTCAATATTTATTTCAGCAAAAATCTTAAACTGTATAACTGATTAATGTAGTTACATTTAGGTCCAAGTGCGCTGGTCGCTATTCCACCAATGAATTCGGAAGGAGCTGGAACGACACCTGTTGATGAGCTGTAACTTGCCAAAGTACAGGAGACGCGATATTTGCTGGTATGGAGGGGAAGGTTGAAGTGCTCGTTTGATCTGAAAATGGAAGTAAGGATTAACTATTATCATATTATAATATTTTATTATTCTAATGTAATAATATTCCAGAAATGATATCTAAGGCTATCTTCTAAAACCTTGTAAGTCTTCCTATAGACTTACGAGCTTTTAGAGGTAAGAATATAATCTTATCACATGAAGTTTTTTAATTATTTCTTATTTTCCTAATATTTTATTGCATCTCTTATTAACAGTATCATTCTAGTTTATATAAGGTAATTTATTTCTATTTTTTGTTGCTGTTTATTTTTCAAGAGCGATAATTGATAATTATTTTTTTGCATTTTAAAATACACTAGTACTAAATAATATCCTCAGGAACTGTCTGATTTTTTCATAATTCACTGGTGTACAGAAACCTATTAATTGTCTATGATTGAAAGATACTAATTTTTTTTTTTGCTTATATTTATGATAAATTTGCAGTTTTGATACAGCGTTTCAGTTACACGTTAATTATTAGGGCAATATACTTTATAATATAACTATATTATAATACTTATGTACAGAATTAAAGTAATAGGTTTTCAGTACCAGATTGTTACTAAAATCACAATAAAAATTGTACTGAATTCCATTGTTTTAAATACAGGATCAAAATTTTCTTGTTCTAAAGGTAGTATGGTCTTTTTGCTAATGGATTTTTAACTCTTTTAAAGCCATTAAATTGCCAAAAGTGAAATTGCTTTGTAGGAACAGTTATTTTTTTTCTGCTACAACTTGTTCTAATCACTCTCCTTCACTACTTTCTATACAAAGGCTTATATATATATATATATATATATATATATATGTATCTTTTGGGATGTCTTTAATGTATATACGAGTATCTCAGTACGGTTATTTTAAAATACTTAACAATTTAACTTTTAATTGTTTGAGGTTCCCAAAATAAACATTATTGATCCATAATTGATGATTTGAAGTAACTTGTACCATAATTTAATCTGTTAACCGGGGGAATAAAATTTTGTTCAACTCATTTCACAGTGTTTTTTTTTTTTCTTTCTTTTTCTTCATAATTATAAGTAATATCATCACAGCTCGTGTAATAAAAGAAAATAATTTTTAACTTATTGATTTTATTTATTTCGACAAAATATTTTATAACATACTGTAAAAGAAAGAATGAAAGAGATGTTTCATCATACCCAGTTAACAGGTTAAGAACCTTGATTATCAGGAATAAAATAGCTGCTTTATCAACAAATTGCAAACTTTTTTTCAGAAATATAGTTAAAAATGGTTCTTGTATTTAGATTTAACAGATTTTACAAAAATAATAGTGTTTTTTTTAACTGTGACTAAATGCACTGAGGGCATGAAGGCCTATTGTGCGCAGCGGTTTTCTTTTAAAATAACTAGTGATTAATTCTAATGTGTCTGGCCTTGATTCTGTATGGTGTTAGTAAGGAAATATACACTTGTTTTTGTTAGATTATGCATTTTGCTAAAAATAGATGTAATGAGCAGCAGATCAAGAATTTAATTTATTTGTAGAAGGGGGGGCCTTTTTTTTTAAATTTATGTATAACAGTAATTACTCTGGCAGAAAAATAAAGAAAGTAACTAATTGAACTGATGTTTAAATGATGTTTAAATATAATATAAAATAAAAATATAATATAAATATAAAAAAATAAAATGAAAAAGCGTATATTAAGAAAAATAATGCTGTTAGGGATGAATTGTTAATATTTTTTTCTTGACGTATGTTTGCATAAAGTAGTTGGAGTACCTACTTTATAATTTAAAGAGAAAAATAATATTGTAATTGTTTAAGTGTGCTTAGATCACGCATAGAAACCAATTCAGACCAATCACAAATATTATTTTCCTATTTTTGGTGAGCTTCGGACAAAAGCTCCCCCTTGTTAGATCTGCTAGTGACTAACAATTTTTTTGGGTGCTACTTTTGCAATTGACTAAGATATATGAGTATGGTTATCGATTTTAACATTCAGTCGAAAACAATTGTTTTAAAACAAAATTAATTAGTTTTCTTATTGTAATGAGACTTAAGTTAGATCTGATTGGCGACAAAAGATGTTTAAAAATAAATTTTCTATGCCTTCATGGGGAGTTGGATTTTAATTCATTTTATAGAGGTAAGGATATATTTCAATTAATAGTGAGCTACATTTACGGATTTATTTGTTCTAACTGCCTTTAAACTTTTTTTTTTTGTTTCTAACTGATAAAGAGGATCAGATACTGTAAGTTTACATAACCAGTATATCTTTCTGATCTCATTCTTACATAGCATTTCTTGGCGTTTTTTTTCCTTCCTACAAATTACATCAGTCTGGCTTGGAAAATGGAGTGTGATAATGCAGTGAGTTGCTGTTGCATAATGTGAAAGAAATACTGTTAGTTTCTTGCATCCAGTATGTCTCAAGGCCTTTAGCATGGCAGAATATCATATTTATTGATGAGTTAAGATTTGAATTTTTTCTAGAACGGAAGTTTTAATTTTGCATCAGCGTTACAAAATTATCGTTCAGACATGGTTGAATAAATTTTCAAAAAGTGAAATGAAATTTTTGATTTCTTGGAAGAAAACGCGAAAAATGTCACATTATTAAAAACGATCGGTCAAAATAATGTCAGCTGATTGCATGAAAAGAATATGTGGTACTATCGATATATCGATATGTGGATGCCATTCATGGAAAAAAATGGCCGATAAAGCTCCTTTCGAATCTAGTGCAAAATAAAAGAATTTTATTTATTTTGAACCAATTAATTAATTAATTAAAGAAAAAAAAGTTAAACTTTAGCCAGTTCGTTTTTATGTTCGACCATGTTTCAAGTATCGCATGACGTTGCTTTAAATAATAAAGAATGCTTGAGATACGTAAACAGAGTCTTATTACTGATTGGCTGCCGCACCGATGGTACCAAAGCTCAGGGGTTCAAGGAACATGCTAACAAAAAAAGTTCATTATCTTAATTGTGAAGAAAAATAAGAAAAAGAAGTGGATACTATATTTTTTACTGGATTATTCAATACCAAAGGTGCTCAAAAGGGGATGGTAAGGAGCAAATAGCTTATTAATATAGCCAATTATAGCCAAAAATTATTGGTTTATTTACTTCTGGATGAAAATATAAGACGTTTGGCCGTTAAATTACGAGAATTATGATTTAAAATACTTTATTTTATCCTGATTATTTACTTATTATCACCTTCAATATAGACCTCTCCTCCATTCCTACAAAGTTCTATGCGAATCTTCCATTCTCTGAAACAAGTGCTTGAAGTCTTCTTCTGTCAGTTCCTTAAATTCGCACGGAGTCAAATCTTGTTCCTTTTAATGCAGATTGACGAATCATGTTATTTTACTTACGATTCTAAAAACGAAACGCCAATGGAAGAGGCCAACTACACCGAGATCCAAAAAGCTCGAACGAGCAAATCAAAATTCAAAGCAATTATTATAATTTTTTTATATTAATAAGATTGTTCACCTTCATTGGGTACGTGAAGGTCAAACTATTAATCAACATTATTATATTCATGTTCTCTTTGAAAGAGAAAGCGTCACGACTCCTGAAAGACAGAAGACTGTTTCAGACAGTGGAAGGAAGATTCGCATGGAGCGTTATAGCGATAGAGGGGGGGGGGGGTTATTTAGAAGGCGTAATTTAGAAATTATGAATAAAAATAAAATATTTTACAGCAGTATAGTAGTCCGTGGTACAAACCCCTTTTTAATGAAATTATTAAAATCCGCTTGAAACTTCGTAAACAGCTTCATCTCACCGTACAAATATTTTATTATGAAAACTCTTGGAATTGGGTCGTTTTCAATCTGGAAACCGACAAACTTTGTCTATTTAATTAGGTACTAAAAACTCGTAAATCCCCATTTGCTTTCCACTTGAACCGTGAGATAGTTTGATCACAAAATCGAGAAAAAAGATTGGGCTATATAACTTCTTTATTTTGACAATATGGGGGTTTAGGTCACGCCAAACGGCTCAATATTTTTTAAGGCCACCTTTTTTTCTCGACTTTGTGCTCAAATTGTCTTACAATCTAAGTGGAAAGCAAATGAGTATTTACTAGTTTTTAATACCGGATTAAATAGACAAAGTTTGCCGGTCTCTAGAATGAAAACGCTCCAATTCCGAAATTTTTCGTAAATCAAATATTTGTAGGTTACGATGAGATGAAGCTATTTACGAAGTTTCAGGAGGATGTTAATAATTTGATAAAAAGGGGCCTGTATCACGGACTATCCGTTACTTAATAGGCAGACATCGTAGTTTTGTGAGGTTTTAGTGTAGGTTACTTTCAACTCAGAGAACGAGTGTAAAAGACATGGAACATACCTTAGCTAGTGTCACTAACGGATCCAGGATTTAATTTGGGGGAGAGGCTTCAGCCCGAAATATTATTTTTGTATAAATATATTAGGATAATTGCTTCAGTATAAAGAAAGAACCTATTTACCTATATGAAATGGTCTTTAAGTGATTCTTTTTGTCCTATTATCTGTAATTAGACGAATAACAATATTTTTAGAGATTTTTTTTTCATAAAACATGGTTATATTTTACCATTTTTGGAGAGGGGGGGGGGTCTTCAACCCGAAAGCTTCCCCCTCTCCCCCCCGTAGATCCGCCCATGGCTAGTGTAATTGTATATAAACTACAATTTCTATTATTCAACTATCACATGCACTGTTCTTAAGAAGAGAACAAAATAAAATTTCTTGGAAAGAGAGAGGAGCATGCGCCGTCGCTCTTCAGCATTGGTCATCCCTGTTGAAAGCTGTAGCTGTATTTGAATTGTAATTAGATTTAAGTTTAAAAAAAATAATATTACTATCTATTTTAAAATTAATACACATTCGAATATCGTACTTTGTCATTGTATGAGAGTGTTATATCGATTACACCATTATGGTGTTATCTTTGGAGGTCAAGAATGAATCATAAGCGCTCTTCTTTGTATTAGCTATGTACAT